TTTTAAAAAGGCAGGTAGATTTATTTTATTATATTTTTATGTCATGCAAACTGCTTAACTGGAAGTTATATCTTTTATAATTTGGGCAAGGAGGTTTTTTGTGTCTATTTGTTTTGATATTTTTTAATGGTCTCCATTTGTTGAACTTGAATGCTTTGGTTCTCCATATGGAAAATTATAATTTATATTACATTGATATTTATTTTTATTTATATTAAAAGTATGTAGGTGTTTTGCAACATTTTAAAGTTGTGACATAAATACTCTGCTAGACATGTTTAGTTTTGTACAATAATTATTTAACAATAAAGTAGTTATTGTTAAATATTTAATAGGGCTGTAAGCATGCAAAACATTTGGCTTGGATTTAAAAAGGAAGTTGTGCCTACATTTAGTGAGTTTACAGTGTTCATGCAACACTGTTAATGGAACATTGTGTTTTCAGAAAAAGCACAAAATCCTTATCAGTTTTGTTAAGGGAGTTTATAAATCATGATCCCAATTCTTCCAAACCCCAGGTCACATTCAAAACCTTATTCGCATCATCGCTCATTTGAAATGTGCATCTGTTACAAGAATAAAATTACAACATGCTGAATATCATATGCACAAAGAAAGGACGAGAGGTTCTGTGTAAGATTCAGCACACTGAGTTAAAATTCGAGAACAGTATGATGGACTCAATTTTCCTTCAGAGAGATACGTACCTAAAAACAAATTAATGTCCTAGTCCATAAGTAGCCATTGAGCATGTAGTTGAGTGACTAGGAATTAAAATGAAGCACTCTGTCGGGAAAAGAAGTTACCATAGTATAATAGTAGGAAGTATACAAAGATGTGAATGGAGAAACAGATAAATTGGACCTTGAGACCAACGTTAAGTGTCCAGGGCAGCTAATAGTGACTGTCACTATTTTCAGTACATTGTTCATACGGGAACAGAAATTCATCATGCTGAGTGCTGTGCAGAGTAAAACAATTGTCACTCAGTAAAGATGGAGCTGACAGTGAGGGATCCACGGAATAGATTTAGGGAGACAAAGTGGTGTTGTTAAATTTACAGCCAAACCAAACAAGATTTAAATATTTCTGTTTTATAGGGAAAAAAAAATCAAACCTAAGGAGTAGCAGATTACTTTCTTAAACCAATTTTTTGTGTGCATAGCCTTAGCAAGAGGAAACCACATAATGCTGTTAAAAGACAGAAAGGATTGAAGGAAAAATATATGCGCTATTGAGGTATAAAAGCTATAAAATTTGAGAATTATGTTATTACACTGTATCACGGAGTGACAGCAACATTTTTCATACTTGTTACTCTCTGGACTGCAGTACAGTTTTGAGAAGCCTGAATGGCTTTAAACTGATGTTCAGTAGGGCAAATGTTCATGTCATGGCTTGCACAGCCATGTCTTTAGGGGTACAGTTACCAAAGCCAACCAGCTGGAAGCCAATCTTTACTATCTCATCATTTTGATGAAGCTTTCCTCAGTCTTTTTAAAGCAGATTTATTTTAAAATAACATTTAATGCTGTCACATAGCAATACCTAAGATGTTTTCCATATTTGAAAAATAAAATGTAGTTTAATATTTGAATGTAATATATACCTCTATAATACATAATAACGTATTCAGGTCTAGCTTGCTGCCTTTTTTCATTGGTTGATAAAATTTCCTGTGAAAATACAAATTAAAAAGTGAGGACTATGCTGTGGACAATGTCTAGTGATGTATAAAACTCAGAAAGTTTCTGAAGTTAACATATAATTAGGTGCAAGTGAAGAAGTTTTGTTTCTATAAATATCAGCAATCCTAAAGCTCATACTCTAATTAAAAACAAGTAATAGGGCATGTTTTAATGAGCCGGTACATTTGCATGTTTTTTTTTCTCCTCACAGCCATGAAGGAACAGATTCTGTTGCTGACCTGACAGATGTTATTGTGGTATTAAACAACTTCAGAAGCAAAATTATCAAAGTCCAAGTATGTAAAGAGATACCTTTTTTGTCTGCAGTATTTCTTTATATGAAATATGACTAATGCTTACATGTCTTAGGCTGTATTTAATTGGAAGACATATACTGAAATATATAATTTAGATTTTGTATAATTAGAGAAGGATGTGCAAGTTAATGTAGTTAATTTGATACAATCACGTTATACTAATTGCATGGGAGATTGTTAAATAGCTGTTAAAATAATACATCCGTGTGCATAACTTAGCTAGGATTTAGCTCATCTAGTTTAAGGTGACTCAGGATGTAGTCCAGGTGCCTTAAACTCCCTCTCTGCTTAGTAGAATGAGAAGACCAGTCCAAAGGACTGCTCATCCCAGCTCACGTACGTATTTAAACCAAGGGGATGACCACCTCTTGAGACATCCAGTTTTCTCCTGTGGCTGGGGAGGTATTTTACATGAAGTCCACATACCTAACTTCAACTTTCACTCTGATATTTTGAGTTCTACCCTAATTTGTGTAGATGAAATTATGTTACTTTCATTCTTAAAAATGCATCCAAAAGAAATAATGAAACACGAGTTATATTAAGGAGAAAGAACCTTACAGTATTATATGTTTTCAACTATTTTGTAAAAAACATTTTGTGTAGGTGTCCTTGGTACATTGTATCCTAATTTTAGACATTGAGAGGGAGAGAGAACAATGTAAATGTAAGTACAAAAGGAATTTTTAAAACCACATATATGAGTCTCTTCCCCAGTCCTGTAACTGAATGTTCCTAGAACCTGGAGAAAATGTGTAACTCTGGAGAGTGGTGAGCCTGCCTTTAAACCACAAAGAAAGGGTAAAAGGGTGCCATTTGTGTCAAAATAGGAAAATTATTCTATGTGAAAGGTAGTATATATTCAGCTTATAACTAGAATATGTAAGCTCTATCATTCAGTTGAACTCTAGAATCACTTCAGCAATACCTAGGATGTGGCTTCAGAAGCATTAGCTTTTAGCTAAAAAATACGCATGATGTAGTGTGAACAGGTATCTGTGTTATCTTGACAGTATAAACATCTGAAATTAATATGGTTGGAATGGAATATGTTCAAACATTTAGTGTTTTAGAAGCTATTTGGGTTTCAAAAACAATTAGGTTTCTTTTAATCAAGGAAATTAAGGTCAGCAAACACAATTAATTTGGAGCCTTCATTAAGCATCTGGGTAAGACAGCAGAAATTGCTTAAGTTGGATGGGACAGCTTATGTTTCAACAACAGATTTGTCCCTTTCTCCTTGTAAGAATCACAGTTTCCCTTCAGGTAATTTCCATGTATGGTACGACACCCTGCTACCCTTCTTCTGCCAGCTAATGGCTGGATCACAAACTCACGAGGGAAGAAAATATGATACTATTCCCCACACTTGTAGTTACTGTTTGCATAAAGAAGTGTATACACAGGGCTTGAACATGCTGTTTGATTTATTAATCGCCATTTAATTTTCCATAATTGATTACTTTTCTTCTTACTACAGTAAGTTCTGTACATAGTTTAAAAGTATGAAATGACATTTTTACTGTTCAGTTTAATGCAGTTCAGTAGATAATTTACTGAAATACAAACTGGTAAGATGTTGGTCCAGCTCTAGCCAGTAAGTACACTATAGTTAGATATCACAACTGAAGTAGTAATTATTATCAACTAACTTCCCAAATTACACAAATACATTTATTTTAATGACTAGGTACAGAAAAAGCCTGATAAAATTAATGAAGATCTCCTTACTGATGGAAGAACAGGAAAAAAAGGAAATCAGGTATCAGTTACTAGGTAATGCATAATTTTCTTACACTTTAACTGTGCCAGGACATGTTTATTATTACTTATAGCAAGTAAGTGTTTCTTACTTGATAGTGATAGAAATAGGTAAACAGGCTCCCCAAGGGATTTATAATATAAATAAAAGTAGGGAAAAGACTTGTACTTCTCATTATTTATTTCCTTTTTAATCCCTCCTTTGCATTTCTAATTCCTGTTCATTTTGTCTATTGGCATTATTTTTATTTTGTTGTGACAGGGAATCAATCGCAATGTGAAAATCTCAACCAGTAATGTGGTACTTAGATGTATCAAATGGCACATCAAAAAGCAGGTTATGATGCTGCCTGCCTGTCTGCTGCTAGAGATAATTTATGAAAGCTCAAGTGTTTTTGTATTTATCAATAAAATAACTTTTTCTTTAAAGTTTGAGTTGTATAAATAATTGTAATATATGTCTCAAGCTTTACATTTGGGGCTAATAACATTGTAGTATTTTTAATCTGCCCTATACCATTGTAAAATTTTGCTTTCATTTGCTTATAATGTTGCTCAGAATTATGTTGTCTGTGGATGGTGTGTGATTCAGGCTGATTTTTTAAAAATTTGAATTTAGTTTTTATTAATAAGATACAAATACCTATGAAATTGTTATATTTTGAGAATGAGACAAGGGCAAAAAAAGGATGTTTCATCTTTGCTTAGAAAAATAATTTTAGGGTTTTTTTAACAGACTGGTATATCTAGGCTGCAGATCTGAACATGGGGTGTTGTATCAGTTTCCAAGACATGTTAATTGTCCTTCCAAGAGCATTTCAGTCAGACGACCTTTGACTAACATATTTTAGAAACAGTGGCCTGGATACTCTGAGCATTCTTTCCTTGTAACACTTCAGAGATCATTTTTACAAGAAACATCTCAAAAAGATAATGTTCCCAAGTGTGAAAACTGGGGTGTTGGCAAAAGTACGTACTGAATTCCCAATGATTTGATTTCTTAATGTCAAAGAAGAATGAGCTTGGTTCTTTAATTTGGAATGCTGATAACACAAAAAATTCATCCACACTTTCAAAGTGATGATAATTCCTCTTCTGGATCTCCAAGGCTGTTGTAGGGAGGACTTAATTTGCAATCCATACTGGACTCCATCTACTTAGTAGGAAACACTCATGTTTGCTCTTGGAAAGTCTCATTTCCAGTACAGGTTTTCTTTCTGCAGTATGCTGTCATGGCTGTATAATTGCAAAGGCGAAGAACTGAAGGTAATGCCGTTTGAAATACCCAGTTCAGGGCTAATGACTTTGTACAAATAACTTAATCTAAGCAATCATAGATCTCTTTGCCCTGAAAGAAAAAGGAAATTGCAGTACCTTTTCCCTAGGTACCTTTAAGCATTCAGGATTTACCGTTGAGGTAAAGTCTGATTCCTCCATTGTTCAGAACATCTTTGGACTGTAACTCAGCTAGTAAGAAAGTGATAATGTCAGTATGAGGGATTTAAGGAGAATGGCTTTTTCATCACTGTTTCTCCATACCCTAAAGACTTTCTGGCCCCACACAACTGCTGTGAGACTCAAAAAAGGTTTTCTTCCAATTTCAGTAGTCTTGGCGATGGTTGTCAGTCACAAAAACTGTTAAGGAAGATAAAGCAAAGGCACAGCAGTTCTACTTGATCTAGTAAACAATTGACCCAATTAATCCTCAGTGTACACGTTTCTTGGTAGATCCAGGACTGGCTTCTGTTTCAGCTTTATCCTCTCTCCAGACAAGGCTTCTTGTATCTCAAGTACCTGGACATTTTATTGAGTCTCTGTTGCTGATTTTATGTTTATCAACATTTAGCCACAGATGATTTTACTGTTACAATACTCACTAGATTCAGAAAGCCTTCCAGACTACCATACTACAGCTCTCAAAAATGTCTTCCTGAAGCCACAGGTCAGGAAACTGGACCCACGTTTCTGCACAAGGGTGGCTGCTTTTGCAGACTGACGTTAGTTGAAGGAATTTTTCATCATCTTCAAGCTTGCCACTTCTAATTGGCTGCATCAAAGGATGTATGTGCTGTGGTCAAAATCTTAGCTCCCTCTAAGAAGGTTACAGGGCCAGAGATCTCACAATTTTCCATGTCTAGCCTTTTTTCACAGGGGGTTGGTTCATCAATGTGCATCAGACTCAGAGCTTGGCTGGGCTGTTGAAGCCCCTCACTCAATACAGTTTATTTCCTCTTCCCGTTGATTCAAGGTTGTGGCTCAGGGGCATGACTTGAGGTCTGCTGTTTGTCTGTCAGCTTCTTGCTATCTAGAAGCTTGTGAAATATCCTTCCTCTTTATTTATTCATATCTTGGAATGAAAAGTATATCCTGCCAGCAGGCTGTTCATTACAGTAATCCACATGTGCTCTGACATGGGACACGTGTGCATACCACATCGCCCAAGTTCTTTCATAACTGAGCTGCCCTTCTCCAATTGACTGTGTTTCCCACGTGAGCTTACAGACATCTGTAAGAGCAGCCATCTTCAGAGCAGCTTGTTCAATTCGGAAGATCTCTGCCTTCTGTAAAGCTTTGCATAATTAATATTTTCAAGATCCTTGCATCAAAACCTGATTTTCTTTTTGCACATCTGTCTTTGTATTCACCTGTGATGCAGATTGCGTTATAAAGACCTTGACATTTTTTCAGTTCTGCTATCACTAAGTATAAGAAACGGGACAGAAAGTCAGAAAGAAAGAAGATGGACTGCTTGCGACTGTGAACTGCAGTATATTTAGCCTGTGAGAACTCAGTGCTAGTTGGGGGATTTTCGTCTTTGGAGATGCCACACCATGCAGTCAGTGCCACTCCACTGATGTCCCTTTCTTTTGTGTTTGCTATAGTCCTGATCGGGTATGACTGTGCTATCTCCTCTTACCATTGCTGAGTGAAAAGAATGTGGGTTTCTCAAAGGATTATTCACACCACTTACTTACACACGTTGCAGCCTTCTGAGATTTCAGCTTTGTGTTAGTGATGTGAATTCTTTAAATATGTCTTGTCTCATTTGTTCTTAAAGACTATGAGGGATACTTATTTTTATACTTTTTTAAGTATACTTTTAAAAGGTATCTAACCAGAATAAAAATAAATTTAAGTGACTCACACAATCTAAGTGTGTGAGGAATGACTCACCTCAAAAAGACTATTGAGGTCAATCTCCAACAATATCAAGCCATACTGTAACCAATTTGGCTAAGGCAGCCTTTGCAGTTCCGAGCCCCGTGAAGCAGTGCTCTGAGGGAGACTGCAGCCACCATCCCCTAGCTGTGTGTGCTGGAAGGCATACGTGATTAAAAACCAATCCTGGTAGCCTTTCATGTTCAAAGCAAGTGAAGAATGCTGTGCAGCAGAACAGAAAATCTCTGGACAATATACCTCAAAGATACAGGGTAGCTTATAGGGAGAGTAATTGGATGAATTTAAAGAAGAATTCAGCAAGTGTTATGAAAAACACTCGGGAAATCCCATCACCACAGACCATAGAACATTATGAGAGTGTTCTGGGAGAGGCTACTACTCCTCAGCCTTGTCATTTGCTGTTGGTAAGGTACTGGGCTGAATATGTGGTTTGGCCTCGTGTGGCCACCTTTATATTACGTTCCATCTGTGTTTTAGAGTATATATTCAGCTCAACCACCTATGGCGCTATGCAGACAATCCTCACCTCAGGAATATGCATTGGTTCTTCTGATGTAGAATGCACATGGGTGAAGCTGAAAAATAACTGTTGCTGATTTTAAAAATAACCAATATTCAAGATATTCTGGCTGTGCATATTTCTGATTTTTTGCTTTGATAAAACATGGACTTCTTGCCAAATTTGGGTTCTCTTTGACTGAAAATTTTGGAGACTGCAGTTGTGCCATCATTTGTCCTGAGTGACTGGGTATGAGGTGTTGCTCCCAAAAGATTTTGGTATCATAGTAATGTGCAGTGGGAGTGGAATGTAAGAGTATTCCGTTACTGTAGGATGACTATTTCTTTTGTGTATTTTCTTACTTTTGATTCTTTATGAGCTTAATGGTAATGTAGTAGTATTTTCTTTCTGCTGAATGTTTAGTTTATATAATAATTTGAGGCGGGGGTTTTCCTTAGATTTTCAGAAGAAATTCCAACAGAAGAGAAGGAAAAGAAAAGTGATATTCTTAACATTTTTTCAGTTGCTTCAGGCCATTTATATGAACGCTTTTTAAGGTAAGGAAAGATAAAAGGGAAACAAGAATTTCATGGCGATACTGTCAATGTTCATCCTAAAACTACATAGCTTAAAGAAACTGACTTTTTTAACAAGCTATAAAGAATTGTCAAAACATAGAAAGGTTGTAGACAGTGAGGACTAAATTCATCTTTGAGAACAAAGTGATTCAATGTATAGATGCTCAAAAATAACATTATTGTTTGAAGAAAGAAAAATGTTCTCCATGTCTTTCCTGAGTGCATGTGCGAAATGTGAACATAGTAGATTAAGTTCAGCCTCTGTTTATAAAGACATAACAGAAGTGACTTCATTAGAGCTGTATCTGTTTATGTTTAGTCCAAACTATGGATACTACTACATGCACATACGGCCTTATTTATCTCAGTGTTCATTCAATAAGCAATGATTGCTTTTAAGGAATTCTTACAGTATTGCCTAATGTGTTCACAACCATCTCTGTTACTTTTCTGATTTGAGTACTTGTGTGCAAGTGTCAGATTTAGTGATTTTATTATCCTAAAATGGAATCTCACAATTCTTTCATGCATATTTATTTGGAAAGTAGTATTTTGTATGTATTGATTTTTATTTCTTAGTAGTTTGATGCAGTTTGAACATCTGCATTTCTTTCCTTCAACCTACAACAACGTTCATAAAGGGAAAGGCTTGTATATTTTAAAGGGGAAAAAATTAATTTTAAAACATCCTATATGCTTCTTTACCTTATTTTAAGGTGTACTGTTTCTTGATTTTTAAGGCAGACTTGACTTCTTGTCAGGCATTGCTTATTTGTCTGGTTACACCAAACAAATGCCACAATAGTGAAAAAAAAATGGAACCCAAAATAGTGATTCTTAGAGTTATCAAGGGTTTTCTGAAGAGGATCTTTTCAGCAACCTGTTAAACTCAACCAATATATTTCTAAAATGAGTTATCTCAGTAGCCAAGTTGATATAAGGTATTCATCATTATTCTAATTTTGTCAGACACTTCTCTTAGAATAAAACTTGTTAACACATCCACTTTTGAAATTATTCCTTCTAATATTGCTTAGCCAATCTGGATCAAATAAGTCCCTCCCAAAGTGGTCTTGAACACATGCTCTTTAAAGCTTTTAATTAGAAATAAACAGAAATTTCTGCTTAAACTGGGTTAAAGAAAACTATACTTAGAAAGTTTTAGCACCTTTTAGGTGCAGTTGAAATTTAATGATCTGTGTGTATTTGTTTGTTTATTATAGACTTATATTTCCACAGAATTATGATGCTTTCAGTCCTACGTCATACAAAAACACCAGTTAAATTTTGGTTTCTGAAAAATTATCTCTCCCCAACATTTAAGGTAGGAGAAACATCTTCCTTTTATTATTTTTTCTTTAAAAATTAAGTAGTTTTAAAAAAAATATTACAATTGAGTAATTATATAATTCAAATTAAATGTTCACAGTTGGAAATAATCTCTGAATGCGTTACATAGCAATAGTTTTAAAAATCTCATGTGTAAGGTTCTTCTTTTCTGGAACCCAAAGCCCAGTGACACATCATAATAATTTATTCTCTTCTGATAATCTCCAAGAGTTTGAAAGAAATGCTTTTTATATTTGTGTAGCTGAGGATACTGCTAGAAGTAAAGAATCAGAGAATCAGAGAATAGTTTGGGTTGAAGGGGACCTTTAAAGGCCATCTGGTCCAACCCCCCTGCAGTGAGCAGGGACATCTTCAACTAGATCAGGTTGCTCACTGCCCCATCCAGCCTGACCTGGAATGTTGCCAGGGATGGGGCATCTACCACCTCTCCGGGCAACCTGTGCCAGTGTTTCACCACCCTCATTGTGAAACATTTCTTCCTTATATCTAGTCAAAATCTGCCCTCTTGTAGTTTAAAACCATTACCCCTTGTCCTATAGCTACTTTCCTGCTAGAAAGTCTGTCCCCATCTTTCTTGTAATCCCTCTTTAAGTACTGTAAGGCTGCAATAAGGTCTCTGGGGAACCTTCTCTTTTCCAGACTGAACAACCCCAACTCTCTCAGCCTTTCCTGCTAGAAAGTCTGTCCCCATCTTTCTTGTAATCCCTCTTTAAGTACTGTAAGGCTGCAATAAGGTCTCTGGGGAACCTTCTCTTTTCCAGACTGAACAACCCCAACTCTCTCAGCCTGTCCTCGTAGGAGACTCTGATAATTTTTGTGGCCCTCCTCTGGACCCGCTCCAACAGGTCCACATCTTTCCTATGCTGAGGAACATTTAAAAATAACAAATTATGTAGTCAGTAAGGCCAACACAGCTGCAAATGTGTTGCAACATCCCCTCTTTATCCTTTTGAGTCCTTGTGTGTCGCATACATGCGCAACTAATAGTTTTTTGGTTCTTCTTCTAGGATGTTATTCCTCACATGGCTAAAAAGTATGATTTCAAGTATGAGTTAGTACAGTATAAGTGGCCCCGCTGGCTTTATCAACAGACAGAAAAACAAAGAATTATCTGGGGCTACAAAATCCTTTTTTTGGATGTTCTTTTCCCTTTGGCTGTGGATAAAATAATATTTGTCGATGCTGATCAGGTAAGAAAAAATAGTGCGTATAAATGTGTGAGGAATTCATTTTGGCTTAAGTTGATCCAGTTTCATTCTCTGTGGCCATTTTATTCAGATGTTGATCTTTGTAAGACTATTGCAGTTGTACAAGCAGAACCAGTGGTGTTGCAGAACATGAAATGCAACAATTTCATTTGTCCTTAGTCATGTAGAAATTAAGAGTCTCACAACACTGAGTTGCCCTAAATTGCCTGTGGAGAAAGACCCTTGTAAAGGTACGTTTGATCTTAAAGGTGCATTTCACCTAGGGCATATTTGAGTGATTCAGTCTCTGGGCTGATTGTGAGAGGACTTCTCTCCACTGTGGAAGGAGTCTGAGGTGATTAGTTTAGACCATTTGAACAACTTCTAGATGGCTGAAATTTTTCACAATTAATCCTGTCTATGTTTTTCTTAAATTTGTATGCAGTCTTTCACTCAGAAATGAATATTGTATAATATACTGAAAAATAACGTGCTGGCTCAAGCAGGTGAGACATTGAAGAGTCTATCACATAGTTATTAAAAACCTCAGAACAAATATTACATATTTTGGTCCTTTTCCAAAGCTTGAGAATAAATTAAATTCATATGTAGCAGTGCAGACTGCAACTTTCTGCAATTTAATCTGGATGCAGTAGTAATGCTGGTTGGCTGTCCTAACTATTGTAAGGATTTCTCTCTACTCCAAAACAGCTAAAACTTTCTTTACCACTGATAAATTAGATTAGTGGAGTTTGATGGAAGAACGATTGATGAGTAAATAAAGAACATTTTACAACCTATTTTTAAGAGTAATTTACTACTAGATACAAAGATTTTTCAAATGATGCAATAATTTTGAAGTGCCTAAGTTACATAACAAATAGGAAGGATTTTTTAGAAGGGAGATGCTCAGTAGATTTTGAAAGTTATACTCCTGCATGAAGGAATCTAATATTGGGCAACCAGAAACACTGGTCTATGAATTAAAAATACTTTGCTTACTTTAATTTACTTATTAAATGTGTTACACAGATGGCCACAGAATAAACACCTGTTTGTTCCGTGAACAATAACTTGGTAAATATCATTCCAGAGGAATACTTTATCTATACTGCACTGTTGTAGTATCTCAGGTGGGGGTTAAATTACACTCTGAGAAGTTTGCTGCAATAACTACCCTCATATGCATACCTTAAAAGCAGTATTAAATTATAAAACTAAATATATTTTTATTTAGATTGTGAGAAGTGACCTAAAAGAACTCAGAGATCTAGATCTAAATGGAGCTCCCTATGGATACACACCTTTCTGTGACAGTCGTAAAGAAATGGATGGGTACCGTTTCTGGAAATCAGGATACTGGGCATCACATCTTGGGAAAAGGAAATACCATATTAGGTAGGATAGCTCCTTACTTATTTTTGTGCAGTTTGTGAATTTGATTAAAATCTGGGTCTTATTATTGATCTCTGAGGCATTCAAAAGCAATTGCCCTATAGTCTTTCTCAGTAAGAGATGAATAAGGCATGTATTCTGATGGTATATTGATTTCACTTTTTATTGTGGCTTCAGCCACTTAATTAAAAAATTATTCCTTTAGGATGGGAATGGTTTTTGGTTTCTTGTTGCTTTTATTAATGTTATCAAAAAGAAGGTGAAACTCCACAAATCTTAATTCTTTTTCTTATCTTTGTAGTGCCTTATATGTTGTGGATCTTAAAAAGTTCAGGAAGATTGCAGCAGGAGATAGGCTTCGGGGCCAGTACCAGGCTCTTAGTCAAGATCCAAACAGTCTGTCAAATCTAGATCAGGTATATGTGGCTTTAAGCAATTTGGGTTTTATTTTCTTTATGTTTCTCAATATGCATGGAATTATTTTGTATCTCAATGTATATGTTATATAATTCTGAAACTATTTGCCCTTTACTGCTGTTTTAGCACATTTTCAGGTGTGTATATGAGCATATACACAAACAGGAGGAGCTGGAAGCCATTGTGC